TTTTTTTTTAATTTATTTTTTCCCTCTGCCATGAGCCAGGTTTGGAATTAAAATGCTCTGGTAGCAGGAGTGGAGTCTATAAACTGATAGAAACCATATAGAAATCGATATTACTGGTTCCTCCAATAGCCGGGTAAGCACAACTTAAAAGTTCTCTTTCTTTGCTGTAATAGATGTGAAATGTCTCTCTGATGGTTGAATTTTGCTGCTGTTCACAAATAGTTAAAGCAATGTTTTCCAGATTGGCATAGTCTCTGTTTGGCAGGGGCTTTTTTTTTTTAGCCCTTCATTTCATTTCTTTCTTCTGCTGAATGATTTTCCCTACAGGATTTAAGGGTAGGACCCAGCCTGTAGCAAATGACACCTGCACAGCACTTCCTAGCAGAGCGATACTGTACTTTCCAAAAGCCATGCAATGTGCTGCCAGCGACCTCCGTGGCAGGGAAACTTCTCCGCTCTACTTTAGTAGCGGTTTGTCTGTTTGTTTACAGTTAGAATAGAGTGTAAGAACCGAAATGCAATTAGACGCTGCWTTTTGTCTGTCCTGTAAGATCCTTTCAAAGTATTTACAGTGCTTTGGGTCTGTGTGTTGTCAGGAGAGATCATGTGCACTGGACATGCTGAATATAGTATCATGACTTGCTGAGATAAATTCAGAGCTGGGATATAAGCCCAAAGCAAGAGTCAAACCTACAGTGAGCTGTCAGTTACCAGCTCTGTAAATCTCTGAAATTAAACCTATTTCCATTAGGTAACTCACATGTCAGACACCCTGAGGTACCTTTTTGGCACTGTATGCATTTATTATTTATGTGTCTAACAGCTGGGTAGGAACCATGCTGCTCAGCATTTGAATCTTATATTTGCCTGTCACTTCTGTGTTAACGGTGAAGATCTGCAATTTGAGCAATGAAATGTAGCAATGTTTCACTCCTCTAACTGATTACACTAGAATTGGCAGGAGGCACGAGAGTGGGAGGGAAAGAGAGCTGAAAGGGGCTTTTTTCTATTATTGTTTCCTTCAGTATTCTTTAAAGGAAGAAGGAAAGCCGCACACTTGTTCCTCTTTGACTTTTTATCTTTATTGCRAAGAAAGCATAGTGCTACTACTGTAAAATACTAATCCCATTGCATCTGTTAAATCACATGTTCTGTATGATTGGCTATTTSTTTTGGCCGGACGGAGAAATTTTATCGGGATTTAATGCCATTTCTGTCTTAGAAGAGGGGTAAGTTAAAGGATATCCCATGGGCTAGTCACAAGGTTTTAAATTTAAAGCCCACAAAGCAACATTAGTACTAGAGTTCGTGCAGCCTGTTTAAAAATTATTCTTGGCAAAAACTCTTCAACTATCATTTTATTAGTTAACAGACCCGTTGAGATAATTTGAAACTGGGCCAAAATGGATATGTTTCTCCTACAGACCCGATCTGTAGCTGGCAAATTTCTGACAAGGTTGTTTGTGTCAATTAACAGAGTTGTAGAATTGCTTGATCTTGGTGCATTTCTCAGTACTCAGAGCAAATAATGCAGGAGAGTTTAGAGTGTGGGCTGCAGAGCTCTGCACTTTCCTTGCACACTCTCCATCCCACCCCCAACTTGATGTGAAGTGCTCGTGCAGAGAGAAGCCTTTCCAAGCGATTTCCAGTGAGTGGGCAGGGAATGACAGAGGTGGTAATAAGATACAGGGCTTTTACCGCYGAGGCAGTGGTGTGGATCCAGCCCAAAGTGGTGCTGACCTCAAGTCATCCCTGCCTGACAGCTCATTCCTGCCGTGCTGGGGTGGTTGCAGCCGGCTCTTTAAGGACAGGTGTGAACCTCAGAGGGACCGGATGAAATAGAAATAGTGCCTGTAGAAATATTGGCTTCCACTGGAGGGACTGGTGTGCTGGAGCAGAGCTTAGGTAAAGAACTGTAAAATGACTGCACAGGTAACAAATCTCTTCATCAAATAAATGTGTAGCCTTTAATGCTATCTTCTAGCTGTAGGGGTTATATCTTTCAAAGTGTTTCCAGTTGCCATAGAGTCARATTTATCACCAGACTGATTAACTAAGAAGTGGTGTGTAGTAGAAGAGCTATTTACATCAAAAAGAAAAAGAAATATATAAGCAGTGAAGTAGAATGGGTCTGAAATTATACTGTTATTTATTCTCACTTTTGCAACTGAGCTGAAAAGTTCTTAAAATAGGTGGAAAGAAATTTGCACTTCACAATTTTTTGGAGATAGGCAGTTTAGGAGCAGATGTGGTACATATATGCARTGTTCAGCTTCTGGTATTGGCTGGGTTTTCTGGATCTAGTCCAAAGTCCATTAGAATTATAAGTAMAGTGCCACTGACTTCAGTGAGCTCAAGTCCTTCCTGAGCTAAGGAAAGATACAGAGTTTTGGAGTTTTCTGATTCTCTGAGTTGCTCAGACTTCTGAGCAGCTAACTCCTGTGAAACGACCATAGATTCCATAGATGTGTGGGAGGAGTAGCAGAAGTATCAAGTGTAGGGAACTGCCCGACTCTGGGAGTGCTCTGTAGCAGCCAGTGAGAGCAGGTGAGTATCCTGAAAGGAGCTAGCCCAAAAAGCAAATGTTGACTAACAGTTTCAAGTATGTCGAAACACTTTTGGTTTCATGTTTTTGAAATTAATGACATTCATGGCCAGAATTTCTTAAAATAAAAGTTTGATGAGGGTGATTAGTGAACTCAGCTTACTAAAACTTAAAGCTCATTTCCAAGCACCCTTGATTTCAAACGTAAAAAGAAAAGAAAAAAGCCCCAAACCAATAACCCAAACCTCTCCCCACAAACATGAGGGAGAGATGTCTAAATATATCAGCCAGATTTTTATTYGTGAAATTTTATCTCCTGTCCTTGCTTTGCTCTCCCTTGACATTTAGTATAATTATCTTTCCAGCAGGTGGAATTGTCTTAATTTGAAATAAACTAATAGTGTAGTCTGCCCTAGCCAAAACTTGGGCTCTGTTGGTTCCTACTAACAGGCAGGGAGCTCCTTTTGTGCCACCACAGAAGACTACTGGGGAAGACCATTTTCAGATGCACAAAGAAAAAACAGAAGTTCTGTGCCTCCTTCACATCAGTAATTATGGCTTCAGCTAGAAGAGGTGTCTAACACAATCTTTCTATACGGTTGTTTTTGCTCTAAAAGGTTGTATAAGAAGAGTAATGTGATATCTCTATCTTTCAGGTTTYGTTTCTTGGATATTAAGTTGCAAATCTGAAGAGATGGCATTTCTGGCAGTGAAGGTGTTGATTGGGATATTTATTTACTTTAGCAGCGTAAAAGGATCTTCCCAGCCTCAAGCAAGGGTGTTCTTAACATTCAATGGTAAGAAAGAAGATAAACATTCTTAAACAAATGTTATGATTGAACAATTTCTTCTTCCTCTTAAATTCAATAACTGACTATAACTTGTCTTTTTGATCTGTGCCTACAATTATTATTTTTGGTTTGTGTTGCTGAGGCACCTGTCAGCCTAAATTTAGTTCTTTTACCAGAATCTACCTATATCTATAGATACATARTATATAATTAATCATTAATAAGACTTTATTTTGAGTTATTATAATTTACAATTAAAKGTTTTCTTTCTTAATTTTGCTTGGGAAAAAATGTAACAAATGAGATGTGGTGGAGTGTTTATGGTTTGAGTTTCTTTCATTTGGTGCCCAGCTGAGACACTTTATATTCTGAAAATGAGGCTGCCTGAAGGTTTACCAAAATAGTTAGCCAGGAAGAGGCCTTTGAAAAAATATCATTCYTTGTGCACTTTGTGTAGGATGTACATAGCATGTAATAATCACTGATGCCTGCATACTGCAAACAAGCAGTAAAACCCATGATTTTCAAAAGAAAGTCYCTTCTGAAATGCTGAGCAGTACCTTATTGCTACAATTACCCAAACATTACTTTAATAGTAAAGTAACTTACACTGCTAGTCTTAAATCTTGCTGWTTTTAGCCACCAATTCAGACTATATGCGTTCTTCAGCTTATAGTGTCTGTTAAATCTGAGCTGAAATTTCCTGTTATTAAGTATAGGGGCATTGACTTTTTCCAGCCCTCTGCCTTTGCTGTGATTGTCTTTTGAGGGATGAGGGCTTGCTGTTCCCTGCACTGACACTATTTCTATTAGGGTGGTGTCTGTGGTTCATTGGTGTGGGGATGCCCTGCCACTACCTTGGCAATATTCTGTGTGCTSTAAACAGTCTTTAAAAATAATCATTGCTGGTAAGTGTCTCAAACTTCTACTGCCACAATGATCGTAACTGTGTGAACGTGAGACTGAGGAACATGCAGAAGGAGACCTGCTACATTAGACTTTCCACAAATACCAACCAGACTTTGAACAATTACAAGGTGCTGTATATTATAGWGTATGGGWCCCTAAACTGATGAAWACAGTACTTAACAGGTGTAAAATAGAATGGTTCTGGTAAAAGAAATAGTAGGAATTGAATTCCAAGAGGGAACTTGACTTCAAATGAAGTAGAGATAGGAATTTTTCCGTACTTGAAATCTACACTGACTTTAGTGTAGATGGATAGTACTGTCTTGACACAACCCAACACAGAAGCAAGTTTGGCTGTGGTTGTGTGTTACACTGCAGGTTTACCACAGYTATGCAGAGCAGGCTGATTTGGATTTCCACATTGTCCCCTTGGTGGCCTTGAAAGTAATCTGGGTTTCCCAATCTCTGGTGTGACCATGAAGTAGGAAGTGTTTTTGTGGTATTCAACCTTGTGAGTGGGAAAGAATTGTAATGAGAAGGTTTTAACAGGGATTCAAGAGATTTTGTTTCATCACAGGTGTCCTGCAAGGCTGAAACAGTGAAGCAGCCATAGGGCAAAAGGCCCCAAACCTAGGAATTGAAAAAAAATACTGAATTGAACCCTTAGTTTCTCTGTCCTTCCCTGAAAGGAGGTTGTCCCTCCTTCCTTTAGAATGGACTATGACAGCTTTATGCTGCAGTGACCCCATTGTCCGGTGAGGTTCTGGCCCCAAGAGCTCTGCCCCCTGTGCAGTCCTGGGGACACAGCCTTCCCTCACTGATTTCTGCTGTAACCCTGCTTGGCTGCCTTGGTTAGAGAACCTTGCAATACTAGCTGATTTTCTTAAAGCTGACTTTTTACTTTCCCTAATACTTAACAGTCAACCTTTAAAASAGAAATTGCATTTTTAGGTCCTAAATTTTTATTGGGTCTTTTGAAGTCGTAAAAGTAAGAAATGAATTATGTGTTTTATAATATGAGAAGTATGTCTGAAATAAAAAGCTAAGCTTTTCTTATAATATATAAACAGAAGTTTTATCTTTTAAACCTGATTTYCAGATGGTATGAAACAACTTCCATTATGTGAAAAGGGTTTGCAGGTTGTTGTGTATACCAAGGTAATGGCACCACCTGTAGTATGAACTTATGTTCTGTAAATCTTTGTTTACTTACATGAGTAGAGATACCACAGAAGAAGGTGAAACTTTGTATTGTCCTCTGTGTGATAACACTCTTTCTTCATAAGCTTCTTCATAGCTTATTGTTTTTAAATTATGTAGAAATAGTGAGTTATTGGCAGTCGTCTCCTTGCCCTGAGAAGCTGTCAGTTTTTATGGAGAATTGTCACTCTTTTAAATTGCATCATTTGAAAATAAAACCATAATTAGGGCTCCTTATGTTTWAAATGACATTAGACTATAAAGACAAGTCATTCAAGCTTAGGATACTTACATGATATTTTTCAAGTTCTGAATTGGATCTGGCATGGTGTCTSCAATTACATTGCGTAAGTTTTGGGGGTAGAATGTATACAGGAGGACAGAATGAGTGATGCTTTTCAAAGCTAACCTGCTSCTTCAGGATCAAGTCAATTGAGCTTATTCACATTGCAGCATTTCTCATGGGAAAATCCAGCAAGTATCTTGACCTATTCTGTTTTTCATCAGGAAAGATAAAAATGCGAATCATTTGAATCATGGGCTGCTTTTCTCTTTGCCATCTACTTCATTAAGAATCAAATGTAATTAAAAAGTGCGCCTGGGTAATACCTCAAGAGCCTGATAATAGGGATTTTGCAATTAACTTCAATGGATGAAGGACTGCAACCCTAACTTCTATTTTTGAAATCAAAAGCCTGGCCCCTTGTCTAATTAAAATGTAGCTCATGACTTCGCTGAGGTTGTTAACTGTGCGTATGACGTGAGTGTGGAACTTACTGCTGTCTGCACCCTGAGTGGCTTGAAAATTGCAGAGCTCTACAGAACCCCCAGGCCTGATTCCTATTGCTTTGCACCTTGTATAGCCATTTACTGAGCTGAAAGGAAGGGTCAGGCTGGAGCTGAACTGCTGCTTAGCTCAGGTGAAYGTGGTTGTACAGAGCTCTGGGGCTATGGAGAACTGGGAATAGGGGATCTCAGTCTGCSTGGAGCGGTTTGGCACCACCTAATTGTCCTGTTCGATGGTGATGGCTCAAACCACTGATATTTGTACAACAYCTGCACTTGAAGAGCCACTGCAGCTGAAGAAAGAGAGAATGAAAGATGGCCYCAGCTTTTTCTGATTCTGAAATTGCAAAGTTGGGAAGCCTGTGGTGCAGAAGTGTAGGGAATCATTTGCTGTGTTCCCGCTGAGCATACAGGAGTGGGGGGAAATAAAGGACTCTACATGTCTCCCTACACTATTAATATGCTTTTCCCCTCCCTGCTGCCTCTTCTGGCTCCTTGTCCCCTGAATAGATCCTTTTTAATCTACTTAAATCACCTATCATAATTTAAAGCGCTGTAGTTTATTTTCTCTGCATAGCAAAAGACTTACCTTATCTGTTTATGAACTATCAAGTGTGGTGCCTGCGGTTTCTCAAGCACCATGCATTCCTCCTTGTTACTGCTTGTTCCTGAGCAGATAATTGGGGGCTGTATCCTTCAGCCTTTACAGGAAAAAAAAAAAA